AACGTTTACATATATATATATATATATATATATATATATATAAAGTACTGGATAAAATGGGTAGTCATTTTGGTCTCTAATAACATTAGTCATTAATTTTGGTAATTATGTATCAAGAAGATAGTAATTAATACAAATCAACAATTAAATCAGTCATAACTTAATTAGTAATATTATTTTTTCATTTATAGTGATAGAAATTTTAGTCATTATTTACTACAAGTGAATTCTTATGTTAATATATATTATAGGGTTAAATATGTTTTTAATCCCTAAATTATGAATTGATTTTGTTTTTAGTCCTTCTTTCAAACTAAGGTACTTTTCGGTCATTCTCCTCTAGGAAATCATAATTTTTCGTCCTAAAAACTCAACGACGTTAAAAAAAACTGAGCTGGCTAACGGTGGAGTGTCATGTCATTTTTTTTTACAGAGTCAATTTGTACCTCATCGTATGGTAATGACCAAACAGTATTGATAATGACTGAACGGTTATAATGACTGAATGGTGATTGTAATCGAACAGTATTGGTAATGGTCGAACGATTATAACGACTGAATGGTGATGGTAACCGAACAATGATGGTGACTGAATGATGATAGTGATCGAACGGTGAGGGACAAATTGATTCAGTATCAGAAAAAAAAATGAAGTGGCACTTCACCGTTAGCCAGCTTAGCTTCTTTTTAACGCTGTTAGTTTTAGAGGACGAAAAATTAAGGTTTCCTAAAAGAAGATGACTAAAATGTACCTTACTTTGAATGAGAGACTAAAAACAAATTTGATTGATAGATTAGAGACTAAAAACATATTTAGCCCTGTATTATATAAATTCTTATATACATTAAATAAATTCTTATATACATTACATAAATATGCATTAATTAAGTATTGAATTTCTTTATATTAATATAAGAACTTTTAATGGTATAATAACATATTTCTAATTAACACTTCACATTATATTATTAATTAATTAAATGTTCTTTTAAATATAACCTTTAAATTAATAATTTCAATACTTATCAATCTTATCATATACCTATAGTTAAATAATAATAATAAATATTTAGAGTAAATTTTACTTATAAAGTTATATTGTGATTTAAAATAGTTTAAAGTTAAATAAAATTTGTTTAAAATGCTTCAAAACATTTATTGTGTAACATAGTTTACAAAATTTAATAATATCATTATAGCTTATAATAATATAGCTTGTTTAAGTTTTTTTAATATTTAATGATAAAATTAATAATTTTTTTTGAAATTGATTAAAATAGTTGAATACATTCAATAATAACATTATATATTATTGGAAATAGTTTGAAAAGTTACTAATAGCATTACAACTCTGTTTACTCTTTGAATTGTTTTTAAATCAGGAAATAATTACATCATTTAATAACTATTTAATTTTTTTATATAAAATTTTAATATATAATATGATATCATTTAAGTATGTTACTAAATGGATTAAAGTGAATCACTAAATGCGTTTATTTTTATTTTATTTTTTCTTTACTCATTTTCTAATTCAACTACGTCAACGCGGCGTTTTCGAAAAAACCATGCCACGAAGCCAGTTTCCATGCAAAGAAACAAAAAGCTGTCTATTTTTTTATCTGTTTTCAAAAAGTTTTTGAAGATGCCAAATTCTAATTTTCGAATAAAAACATATAGCATTTAATGATATGATGTATTCTAATAATAAATTCAGTCTTTCTTTTTTATCGTTTACAGAAGTTTATATTTATGAGAAAACACTCCCTTTAAGACCAAAAACTATCAATATTGAACAAAAAATTATAGTAAAATCTGCACCTACATTTGAGAATGAACACATGTTAAGATTTATTAATTATTTGTAACAGTAAAGTTATACAGGGTTCTAATTAATGTTATATATTAATGTATTTATATCAATTTAATAAAAAAGTAAATATTTTATTTATGTTTGACCATACTAGGATTTTGTTTATATAGATAGTATTGTGTTGTTGGGGAAAGTACTGTCATTATAGTGAGAAAGAGAGAATGCCGATGTGGAGAAAGGAGGTGAAAGAAGAAGCAAAGAAACAGCTATGGCTGGCAGGACCTATGATATTTGTGTGTGTGTTTCAGTTCAGTTTGCAGCTTATATCTCTCATGTTTGTAGGTCATTTGAGTGAGATATGTTTGGCTGCTGTATCTCTGTCAACTTCAATTGTCAATTCTACTGGTTTCAATGTCATGGTAAGTTTACACCATTTTCTCTGTGTTATAGTTTACCAACTTCTTGCAGAATGTTTTCTCAGATGAGATCTATACATGCATGTTAATTATAATTACTTTGCATAATTATATGTCATATATATGGAAGTTTTCTTTCTCAGTCACCCCAATTTCAAGTTTTGCATAACTCCTGAAGATATATCTTTCTCAAACAAGAAAAATGTATAAAACTATATAAGTTCAAATTTCATTGTTGATTAAGAGGAAAAGAACAAGCACCAAGTTTATTACAGATCCTTTCTAGTGTTTTGCTTGAGCTGTCAGAGTTTTCAATATACTGGTACATATGTGTTCAACACTGATCATTTTGCAATTGTAGATTTACACAGGTTGATAAGAATCTGGTCTGAATGTGAGTTTGAATTTATTTGGGGAGATCACTTTTTTCCACTTTACTCTCTTTTTAAATGTTGTTAAGTTTTTTTTAAATAAATAAAAAGATAAATAATTTTTTAATTTTAATAAATTATTGTATTTTTTATTTGTTATTTTTATTTCTACTTGTGGTAAATAATAAAAGAGAAATTGTAATTTTGAATTAAAAAATAAATCTTTCAAAACAATATTAAAGAGAATAATTTGAATTAGAGAAATCTATTAAAACTGTAATTGTTATCGTCATTAAGTCCTGTACCAGTAATTTTTAAGTTGGTGTGTGTTGGAACTCAAACATGTTATTAATGTCTTGTTGGGTGGGTAATAAGAATGTCTGTTTTCTAGGTTCTTCCCTCTTCAAAACCTAAACATCTTTTTCCTATCTCGATGTGCATAATTATTAAGGTTGTCTGCTGGTTGATGTACATAGATTGTTTTAATTTAGGGTTTAACATCTCAAACCAAATCAAATTAATGTTCAATTAATCTTACAGAGAATATAATATTTAACATTTTTTTAACATAAAACTTTAATATAATTAATGGGTTTATAGATATCTTTATATATATATATATATATATATATATATATATATATTATATATCTATTGTTCATATAGTTAATATTTTTTTCCTCATACAAACTTATATTTCATACTTAAATTTGATTCCTATTATCAAATAGCACAACACATATTTTATATAATGTATATATGAGTATTATATACACATTTTATTGCTAATGTTGATGGTTCAATTTGCTTAGATGGGTCTATCAAGTGCATTGGACACATTTGTGTGGCCAAGCATATGGAGCAAAGCGGTATCACATGCTTGGTGTGCACACCCAAGGAGCCTGGTGGTTTCTTATCATTGCTAGCATACCAGTGTCCATTATTTGGTATACTTAGAGCCTATTCTTGTGCTTTTACATCAAGACAAAGAAGTTGCAAAACTAGCTCAACGATATGCCAGATATTTGATCCCAAGTCTTTCCGCCAATGCTCTTCTTCGATGCATTACTAAGTTCCTACAAACCCAAAACATAGTCTTTCCCATGGTGCTAGCCACTGGCTTGACTAGCTTGTTGCACTTGCTTCTCTGTTGGGTTTTCATTCTAAAACTTGACCTTGGTATCAAAGGATCTGCCATTGCAATTTGCATATCAAAATTGGTTTAACACCATAATCTTTGCACTTTACATTCGATTCTCCCCTTCATGCAAACAAACTTGGACTGGTTTCTCTAAGGAAGCATTGCATAACATCCCAAAATTTCTCAGACTTGCCTTTCCTTCAGCAGTCATGGTGTGGTAAGTTCTTGTTTTCTGAACCACAACTTTCTTTCATAGAATATAACAACTTAACATTGCAACCAACATAGTTAATGAGTACATTTTTCATGCATCATTTTAAAGATACACTATTATAAACAAAACTTTTTATAATAGGTAAAACAGAATTTCTATAACAGTAATAGGTTTTTACAGCATCATAAAAAGGATGAGTTTTTTATACCAGAATATTGTCATAATCCGTTTTACTTGTTATATAATTAATTCTATTAAAATATGTACACAACTTAGTCCATACATGACATGCTTTTGTCATCAATTTATCTCTTGAAGCAAAATAAAAATCACTCTTTAATCATCTTAAGATCAAGTTATGTGACTGGTAAAGAAAAGAGTAATGTAATGTAGGGTATATTTTTGGAGGATGGCAATGTACATTTACTTTAATCTTAAACTTGTAAGAACTTGTTTAGTTTCCTTGTCACTAGAATGTGAATGACTGATGCTGAGATATTCTGATTGTTGCTTCTGTTGTATTGTATCATTATGTTGCAGCTTAGAATCATGGACGTTTGAAATAATTGTGATCTTGTCGGGTGTTCTTGCTAATGCGAAGATGGAAACATCTGTTCTTTCTATATGGTTAGTTTTTCTGTTGATATCTGAAGTAATAAGCTAATGTTTGTTCTGGATACTGTATAGAATATGCTGTTATATTTTTATCTTTCTTAATGGAAACCCCACTTCCTTCTCAATGTATGATCAGTTGTATTTCCTTTTGCATCTCAGCCTTAACACGTCTGGTATATTTTGGATGGTACCATTTGGAGTTAGTGCTGCTGGAAGGTTAGTCTTTCTTAGAGAAATGCATTGTTTATATGGTAATACCATATATTATTGACCATAACATGTCTAACTACATGTTATACCTCTCAAACAGTACAAGGATCTCAAATGAATTAGGAGCTGGTAGACCAAAAGCTGCATATTTAGCAGTTAAAGTCACCATGTTCATGGCCTTTTGGTGGGGCTTGTAGAATTTTCTGTCCTTATGTCGTTATGGAAAGTTTGGGGGGGCGTGCTTTTACCATGTGGCAAGTTCTCACACATGTGATTTCCATGATCCAATTCTTGCAAGTTCTGCCTTTGTAGATTCAATTCAAACACATTTCAAGGTATTGGAATAAGTTCATTCAATGATGAGGTTCAAAAAGTCCATTTTCCATTTCCCTTTGGTTTAAATCCTTTTCGACATCCCTATTTATGTTACGAATGTCTCAATTGGGTCCTCGTTTTTTAAAAGTGTATCAAAATGGTCCTTAATTTTGAAAATTGATATCAATTGAGTCCTTTCCGTTAAGTTGGCTGGACGGCGTTAAAAAAAATTGATGAGTGGATGCTGAGTGACGAACGAACGCTCGTCCACCAGAGACGAACTCTCGTCGACCTCTTACTGCTGGACGACCGTTCGTTCCACACTGGACGACCGTTCGTTCGGTGGTCGACAAGCGTTCGTTTGCTGGTGGACGAGCGTTCGTTCGCTGGTGGACGAGCGTTCGTTCGTCATCTCAGCATCCACTCATCAATTTTTTTAACGCCGTCCAGCCAACTTAACGGAAAGGACTCAATTGATATCAATTTTCAAAATTAAGGACCATTTTGATACACTTTAGAAAACAAGGACCCATCTGAGACATTCGTACATAAATAGGGATGTCGAAAAGGATTAAACCTTTCCCTTTTGATTGAATGTTCAAGAATTGCATTAAATTGATTCAACGAAAACAAAGTAATCTCATCCAATTCCATTATTTCTCTTATATTTTCATTATATTATAGAATGTGAACTTTTTCACTGATTATGAACAGGTGTTGCCAGAGGATGTGGTTGGCAGAAACTTGGTGCATATATCAATCTAGGATCTTATTATATTTTGGGTGTTCCTTTTTCCGTTGTCTCAGCTTTTGTATTCCACATGAAGGGACAGGTAAATTAGCCATTTAACTTTTTAAAAAAGATCTTACAGTAAATATCAATGTGTAATTTATTAACAGCTGAAACTATTAAATATTAATGTGTTGATTCTTGATGAGTACAGGGGCTATTTTTAGGGATTGTATTAGCACTTACTGTGCAAGTGGTGTGTTTTCTTCTTCTCACCTTACAGGCCAATTGGGAGAAAGAAGTAAGTGTTGAGAAAAACTCACGTTATACACACTCTCTGATATTTTTCTTAGACTGAATATGTTATTTATTGATAATTGAAGGGTAAATAGTCGTGATACTTGCAATATTACGGAAATAAAAATAAAATCTGAAATGAAATTTCAACTATCTTAAAAATAAAATTTGTCTAATCTATCATAAAATAATAATGTATCTAAATAAATAGAAAATCATAACTACTTGTTCCTATTTTATCTCTATCAAAATAAAACTAAATATTACTAGACCTAAAACTAATAAAATAAGATTTAAACAAAATTATTAATAAAACTCTAAAAGTTAAGTTTATCTCAAGAGTAAGTTATCTTATCTTCAACTCAATTTGTTAACCAATTCTATTTGTACTAATATAATTTTGGGTTTTTGACTTTATTTTTATTGAAAATTTTATGTCAACTAAACGTATGATCAATTTAGAATATATAAATGAATATAAATTTTACTTAACAAGTCAGTTTTGTATGATTAAGTTGAATTTAAAGTTCACTTCTTAATCATTTTATCAATTGGTTTTACACAATTAAATTTGTCTTAAACCTGTGATCTAAATTTTGTTTTTACAAATGTGATTGTAGATTTCACAAGATTGAACTTGCCTTAAACCAGTGTTATATGAAATTTTGTTTTTACAAATATGATTCTATATCTTTTGAATGTGCTCTAATGAAGTTTTAGTGTCTTCCTTGTAATATCTCACTATGAAGCAAGTGTGATGCAATGTCATATATTGAAGCAATTATTTCTGATCAATTGTACGTCTAATTATATTAGGGGAACTTTAAAATAAATTTATTGTAAGTGATTAAACTAATTAGTTCTCTTAATTTGATTCTTTGGTGGTTGTTCCTTGACTAATATCGGTTTGTTTTGTTTATTGTTCAGGCAGAAAGGGCAGTTGCAAGAGTAAGAAACAGTGAAGCCAATGTTGAGGACCAAAATATTGATGTTGCTTCATAGTTTAACAATATTTGTTCTAAGTAGAGCACTTATCTTGGAAAATTAATGTTGTTTAATTATATGAATCCCAAACTTAGCATCAATGTACTTAAGCACAACATAATTATAACTTTGTAGCACACACTCTCAAAACAATAACCGTCAATTTTCTGAGAAATTATGAACCAATTTCTTTTAGTCTATATTCTGGTGCAATAAAATAAAATAAAATGTGTGAAGAAAAAAGGAAAGTGAGTAAAAAATATATTTATTTGCTGAGAAGTAAAAGTAACATTAAAATGAAATAAAATTGTCATGGTAAAGTAATAAATAAATTAAAATAGTGTTACTGTTTTTATCGGATTTTTGCAAGGAAGATTTTTTTCAAGATGGAATATGAGACTTTGAAGACATTCATTTATTACAGAAATTTTCTAACGTCAATAAAAATTTAAAAATATTATATATTGAGTGATGAAAAGAAATTAAGTAAGTTTTTCATGTTATATTTATAAGTTCATGAGTAAATTAATATAGATATATTAATCAGGTTCTACTACTTGAATTTTTTTTTTAATAATAATTATTGTACACTGGTCAACGCAAATCCAAAGCTAATGATTAGTCAATCCTTCAAAATCTCTAAAACAAAAACAACCAGTTGTTAGCAATGTTAGTAATTCATCTTGAATGTTAAGAATACCTCAAGTTATTAATAAGATAAAATTGGATGGTAATTAGGTTAATTTTAAACAAAAATTCATTTGAAAACCTATAAATATTTTACAGGATTCTAATTAATGTTTTATGTATTTTTATCAATTTAATAAAAGTAAATATTTTATTTACCTTTTTACCGTGAGGATTTTGTTTATATAGATAGTATTGTGTTGTTGGGGAAAGTACTGTCATTATAGTGAGAAAGAGAGAATGCCGGTGTGGAGAAAGGAGATGAAAGAAGAAGCAAAGAAACAGCTATGGCTGGCAGGACCTATGATATTTGTGTGTGTGTTTCAGTTCAGTTTGCAGCTTATATCTCTCATGTTTGTAGGTCATTTGAGTGAGATATGTTTGGCTGCTGTATCTCTGTCAACTTCAATTGTCAATTCTACTGGTTTCAATGTCATGGTAAGTTTACACCATTTTCTCTGTGTTATAGTTTACCAACTTCTTGCAGAATGTTTTCCCAGATGAGATCTATACATGCATGTTAATTATAATTACTCTGCATAATTATATGTCATATATGGAAGTTTTCTTTCTCAGCCACACCATTTTCAAGTTTTGCATAACTCCTGAAGATATATCTTTCTCAAACAAGAAAAATGTATAAAACAATAAGTACAAATTTCATTGCTGATTAAGAAGAAAAGAACATGCACCAAGTTTATGACAGATCCTTTCTAGTTTTTTGCTTGAGCTGCCAGAGTTTTGAATATCAGATTATGATCTCAATATACTGGTAGATATGTATTCAACACTATTCATTTTGGAATTGTAGATTTACACAAGTTGATAAGAATCTGGGTTGAATGTGAGTTGAATTTATTTGGGGAAGACACTTTTTTTCACTTTACTCTCTTTTTAAATGTTGTTAAGTTTTTTTAAAATAAATAAAAAGATAAATAATTTTTTTAATTTTAATAAGTTCTTGTATTTTTTATCTGTTGTTTTTATTTCTACTTGTTGTAAACAGTAAAAGAGTAATTGTAATTTTGAATTAAAAAAAAATCTTTCAAAACAATTAACCCCTAAAAAAATAAAGAGAATAATTTGAATTACAGAAATCGATTAAAACTATAATTATTATTATTATTATTATTATTAATAAGTCCTGTACCAGTAATTTTTTGGGTTTGTGTCTGTTGGAACTCAAACATGTTATTAATGTCTTGTTGGAATAAGAATGTCTGTTTTCTAGGTTCTTCCTGTTCAAAACCTAAACATCTTTTTCCTATCTTGATGTGCAAAATTATTAAGGTTGTCTGCTGGTTGATGTACATAGATTGTTTTAATTTAGGGTTTAACATCTCAAACCAAATCAAACTAATGTTCAATTAATCTTACAGAGAATATAATACTTTAACATTTTTTAACCTAAAAAACTTTAATATAATAGGTTTATAGATATCTTTTTTTATATATATTGTTCATATATTAATATTTTTTTCCTCATAAACTTATAATTTCATACTTAAATTTGATTCCTTATTATCAAATAGCACAACACATATTTTATATAATGTATATATGATTATTATATACACATTTTATTGACTAATGTTGATGGTTCAATTTGCTTAGATGGGTCTATCAAGTGCATTGGACACATTTTGTGGCCAAGCATATGGAGCAAAGCAGTATCACATGCTTGGTGTGCACACCCAAGGAGCCATGGTGGTTCTTATCATTGCTAGCATACCAGTGTCCATTATTTGGGTATACTTAGAGCCTATTCTTGTGCTTTTACATCAAGACAAAGAAGTTGCAAAACTAGCTCAACTATATGCCAGATATTTGATCCCAAGTCTTTCCGCCAATGCTCTTCTTCGATGCATTACTAAGTTCTTACAAACCCAAAACATAGTCTTTCCTATGGTGCTAGCCACTGGCTTGACTAGTTTGTTGCACTTGCTTCTCTGTTGGGTTTTCATTCTAAAACTTGACCTTGGTATCAAAGGATCTGCCATTGCAATTTGCATATCAAATTGGTTTAACACCATAATCTTTGCACTTTACATTCGATTCTCCCCTTCATGCAAACAAACTTGGACTGGTTTCTCTAAGGAAGCATTGCATAACATCCCAAAATTTCTCAGACTTGCCTTTCCTTCAGCAGTCATGGTGTGGTAAGTTCTTGTTTTCTGAACCACAACTTTCTTTCATAGAATATAACAACTTAACATTGCAACCAACATAGTTAATGAGTACATTTTTCATGCATCATTTTAAAGATACACTATTATAAACAAAACTTTTTATAATAGGTAAAACAGAATTTCTATAACAGTAATAGGTTTTTACAGCATCATAAAAAGGATGAGTTTTTTATACCAGAATATTGTCATAATCCGTTTTACTTGTTATATAATTAATTCTATTAAAATATGTACACAACTTAGTCCATACATGACATGCTTTTGTCATCAATTTATCTCTTGAAGCAAAATAAAAATCACTCTTTAATCATCTTAAGATCAAGTTATGTGACTGGTAAAGAAAAGAGTAATGTAATGTAGGGTATATTTTTGGAGGATGGCAATGTACATTTACTTTAATCTTAAACTTGTAAGAACTTGTTTAGTTTCCTTGTCACTAGAATGTGAATGACTGATGCTGAGATATTCTGATTGTTGCTTCTGTTGTATTGTATCATTATGTTGCAGCTTAGAATCATGGACGTTTGAAATAATTGTGATCTTGTCGGGTGTTCTTGCTAATGCGAAGATGGAAACATCTGTTCTTTCTATATGGTTAGTTTTTCTGTTGATATCTGAAGTAATAAGCTAATGTTTGTTCTGGATACTGTATAGAATATGCTGTTATATTTTTATCTTTCTTAATGGAAACCCCACTTCCTTCTCAATGTATGATCAGTTGTATTTCCTTTTGCATCTCAGCCTTAACACGTCTGGTATATTTTGGATGGTACCATTTGGAGTTAGTGCTGCTGGAAGGTTAGTCTTTCTTAGAGAAATGCATTGTTTATATGGTAATACCATATATTATTGACCATAACATGTCTAACTACATGTTATACCTCTCAAACAGTACAAGGATCTCAAATGAATTAGGAGCTGGTAGACCAAAAGCTGCATATTTAGCAGTTAAAGTCACCATGTTCATGGCCTTTTTGGTGGGGCTTGTAGAATTTTCTGTCCTTATGTCGTTATGGAAAGTTTGGGGGCGTGCTTTTACCAATGTGCATGAAGTTCTCACACATGTGATTTCCATGATGCCAATTCTTGCAAGTTCTGCCTTTGTAGATTCAATTCAAACAGCATTTCAAGGTATTGAATAAGTTCATTCAATGATGAGGTTCAAAAAGTCCATTTTTCCATTTCCCTTTGGTTTAATCCTTTTCGACATCCCTATTTATGTACGAATGTCTCAATTGGGTCCTCGTTTTTTAAAGTGTATCAAAATGGTCCTTAATTTTGAAAATTGATATCAATTGAGTCCTTTCCGTTAAGTTGGCTGGACGGCGTTAAAAAAATTGATGAGTGGATGCTGAGATGACGAACGAACGCTCGTCCACCAGAGAACGAACGCTCGTCGACCTCTTACTGCTGGACGACCGTTCGTTCCACACTGGACGACCGTTCGTTCGGTGGTCGACAAGCGTTCGTTTGCTGGTGGACGAGCGTTCGTTCGCTGGTGGACGAGCGTTCGTTCGTCATCTCAGCATCCACTCATCAATTTTTTTAACGCCGTCCAGCCAACTTAACGGAAAGGACTCAATTGATATCAATTTTCAAAATTAAGGACCATTTTGATACACTTTAGAAAACAAGGACCCATCTGAGACATTCGTACATAAATAGGGATGTCGAAAAGGATTAAACCTTTCCCTTTTGATTGAATGTTCAAGAATTGCATTAAATTGATTCAACGAAAACAAAGTAATCTCATCCAATTCCATTATTTCTCTTATATTTTCATTATATTATAGAATGTGAACTTTTTCACTGATTATGAACAGGTGTTGCCAGAGGATGTGGTTGGCAGAAACTTGGTGCATATATCAATCTAGGATCTTATTATATTTTGGGTGTTACTTTTTCCGTTGTCTCAGCTTTTGTATTCCACATGAAGGGACAGGTAAATTAGCCATTTAACTTTTTAAAAAAGATCTTACAGTAAATATCAATGTGTAATTTATTAACAGCTGAAACTATTAAATATTAATGTGTTGATTCTTGATGAGTACAGGGGCTATTTTTAGGGATTGTATTAGCACTTACTGTGCAAGTGGTGTGTTTTCTTCTTCTCACCTTACAGGCCAATTGGGAGAAAGAAGTAAGTGTTGAGAAAAACTCACGTTATACACACTCTCTGATATTTTTCTTAGACTGAATATGTTATTTATTGATAATTGAAGGGTAAATAGTCGTGATACTTGCAATATTACGGAAATAAAAATAAAATCTGAAATGAAATTTCAACTATCTTAAAAATAAAATTTGTCTAATCTATCATAAAATAATAATGTATCTAAATAAATAGAAAATCATAACTACTTGTTCCTATTTTATCTCTATCAAAATAAAACTAAATATTACTAGACCTAAAACTAATAAAATAAGATTTAAACAAAATTATTAATAAAACTCTAAAAGTTAAGTTTATCTCAAGAGTAAGTTATCTTATCTTCAACTCAATTTGTTAACCAATTCTATTTGTACTAATATAATTTTGGGTTTTTGACTTTATTTTTATTGAAAATTTTATGTCAACTAAACGTATGATCAATTTAGAATATATAAATGAATATAAATTTTACTTAACAAGTCAGTTTTGTATGATTAAGTTGAATTTAAAGTTCACTTCTTAATCATTTTATCAATTGGTTTTACACAATTAAATTTGTCTTAAACCTGTGATCTAAATTTTGTTTTTACAAATGTGATTGTAGATTTCACAAGATTGAACTTGCCTTAAACCAGTGTTATATGAAATTTTGTTTTTACAAATATGATTCTATATCTTTTGAATGTGCTCTAATGAAGTTTTAGTGTCTTCCTTGTAATATCTCACTATGAAGCAAGTGTGATGCAATGTCATATATTGAAGCAATTATTTCTGATCAATTGTACGTCTAATTATATTAGGGGAACTTTAAAATAAATTTATTGTAAGTGATTAAACTAATTAGTTCTCTTAATTTGATTCTTTGGTGGTTGTTCCTTGACTAATATCGGTTTGTTTTGTTTATTGTTCAGGCAGAAAGGGCAGTTGCAAGAGTAAGAAACAGTGAAGCCAATGTTGAGGACCAAAATATTGATGTTGCTTCATAGTTTAACAATATTTGTTCTAAGTAGAGCACTTATCTTGGAAAATTAATGTTGTTTAATTATATGAATCCCAAACTTAGCATCAATGTACTTAAGCACAACATAATTATAACTTTGTAGCACACACTCTCAAAACAATAACCGTCAATTTTCTGAGAAATTATGAACCAATTTCTTTTAGTCTATATTCTGGTGCAATAAAATAAAATAAAATGTGTGAAGAAAAAAGGAAAGTGAGTAAAAAATATATTTATTTGCTGAGAAGTAAAAGTAACATTAAAATGAAATAAAATTGTCATGGTAAAGTAATAAATAAATTAAAATAGTGTTACTGTTTTTATCGGATTTTTGCAAGGAAGATTTTTTTCAAGATGGAATATGAGACTTTGAAGACATTCATTTATTACAGAAATTTTCTAACGTCAATAAAAATTTAAAAATATTATATATTGAGTGATGAAAAGAAATTAAGTAAGTTTTTCATGTTATATTTATAAGTTCATGAGTAAATTAATATAGATATATTAATCAGGTTCTACTACTTGAATTTTTTTTTTAATAATAATTATTGTACACTGGTCAACGCAAATCCAAAGCTAATGATTAGTCAATCCTTCAAAATCTCTAAAACAAAAACAACCAGTTGTTAGCAATGTTAGTAATTCATCTTGAATGTTAAGAATACCTCAAGTTATTAATAAGATAAAATTGGATGGTAATTAGGTTAATTTTAAACAAAAATTCATTTGAAAACCTATAAATATTTTACAGGATTCTAATTAATGTTTTATGTATTTTTATCAATTTAATAAAAGTAAATATTTTATTTACCTTTTTACCGTGAGGATTTTGTTTATATAGATAGTATTGTGTTGTTGGGGAAAGTACTGTCATTATAGTGAGAAAGAGAGAATGCCGATGTGGAGAAAGGAGATGAAAGAAGAAGCAAAGAAACAGCTATGGCTGGCAGGACCTATGATATTTGTGTGTGTGTTTCAGTTCAGTTTGCAGCTTATATCTCTCATGTTTGTAGGTCATTTGAGTGAGATATGTTTGGCTGCTGTATCTCTGTCAACTTCAATTGTCAATTCTACTGGTTTCAATGTCATGGTAAGTTTACACCATTTTCTCTGTGTTATAGTTTACCAACTTCTTGCAGAATGTTTTCCCAGATGAGATCTATACATGCATGTTAATTATAATTACTCTGCATAATTATATGTCATATATGGAAGTTTTCTTTCTCAGCCACACCATTTTCAAGTTTTGCATAACTCCTGAAGATATATCTTTCTCAAACAAGAAAAATGTATAAAACAATAAGTACAAATTTCATTGCTGATTAAGAAGAAAAGAACATGCACCAAGTTTATGACAGATCCTTTCTAGTTTTTTGCTTGAGCTGCCAGAGTTTTGAATATCAGATTATGATCTCAATATACTGGTAGATATGTATTCAACACTATTCATTTTGGAATTGTAGATTTACACAAGTTGATAAGAATCTGGGTTGAATGTGAGTTGAATTTATTTGGGGAAGACACTTTTTTTCACTTTACTCTCTTTTTAAATGTTGTTAAGTTTTTTTAAAATAAATAAAAAGATAAATAATTTTTTTAATTTTAATAAGTTCTTGTATTTTTTATCTGTTGTTTTTATTTCTACTTGTTGTAAACAGTAAAAGAGTAATTGTAATTTTGAATTAAAAAAAAATCTTTCAAAACAATTAACCCCTAAAAAAATAAAGAGAATAATTTGAATTACAGAAATCGATTAAAACTATAATTATTATTATTATTATTATTATTAATAAGTCCTGTACCAGTAATTTTTTGGGTTTGTGTCTGTTGGAACTCAAACATGTTATTAATGTCTTGTTGGAATAAGAATGTCTGTTTTCTAGGTTCTTCCTGTTCAAAACCTAAACATCTTTTTCCTATCTTGATGTGCAAAATTATTAAGGTTGTCTGCTGGTTGATGTACATAGATTGTTTTAATTTAGGGTTTAACATCTCAAACCAAATCAAACTAATGTTCAATTAATCTTACAGAGAATATAATACTTTAACATTTTTTAACCTAAAAAACTTTAATATAATAGGTTTATAGATATCTTTTTTTATATATATTGTTCATATATTAATATTTTTTTCCTCATAAACTTATAATTTCATACGTAAATTCTTTACATTATTAATTCAAATTTATTACATTTCAATTTGATTTAATAGAATGAGTAACTCATTATTATCAAATAGTACAACACATGTTTTATATTATGTATATGATTATTATACACATGTTATTGACTAATGTTGATGGTTCAATTTGCTTAGATGGGTCTATCAAGTGCATTGGACACATTTTGTGGCCAAGCATATGGAGCAAAGCAGTATCACATGCTTGGTGTGCACACCCAAGGAGCCATGGTGGTTCTTATCATTGCTAGCATACCAGTGTCCATTATTTGGGTATACTTAGAGCCTATTCTTGTACTTTTACATCAAGACAAAGAAGTTGCAAAACTAGCTCAACTATATGCCAGATATTTGATCCCAAGTCTTTCAGCCAATGCTCTTCTTCGATGCATTACTAAGTTCATACAAACCCAAAACATAGTCTTTCCAATGGTGCTAGCCACTGGCTTGACTAGATTGTTGCACTTGCTTCTCTGTTGGGTTTTCATTCTAAAACTTGACCTTGGTATCAAAGGATCTGCCATTGCAATTTGCATATCAAATTGGTTTAACACCATAATCTTTGCACTTTACATTCGATTCTCCCCTTCATGCAAACAAACTTGGACTGGTTTCTCTAAGAAATCATTGCATAACATCCCAAAATTTCTCAGACTGGCCTTTCCCTCAGCAGTCATGGTGTGGTAAGATCTTGTTTTTTGAACCACATCTTTCTTTCATAGAATATAACAACTTAGCATTGCAAGAACATAGTTAATGAGTACATTTTCATGCATCATTTTAAAGATACACTACTAGTATACACTGGACTTTTTATGACATAAAAAGGATTTATTATGACAAATATTATAGCTTTTAAATTGTAAAAGTTATAGAAAATTCACTCTTTATGTGACATTGAGACATTGCGAAAACATGTCCTAGTAAATTAGTTTTACTTGTCATAAAATTAATCCTATTAAAATATGTACACAACTTACTCCATACATGCCATGCTTTTGTCATCAATTTAGCTCTATAAGCAAAACAAATATCACTATGTAATCATCTTAAGATCATGTTATGTGACTTTTGGAGGATGGCAATGTACATTTACTTTAATCTTACTTGTAAGAACTTGTTTCGTTTCCCTTGTGACTAGAATGTGAATGACTGATGCTGAGATATTCTGATTGTTGCTTCTGTTGTATTGTATCATTATGTTGCAGCTTGGAATCATGGACGTTTGAAACAATTGTGATCTTGTCTGGTATTCTTGCTAATGGGAAATTGGAAACATCGGTTCTTTCTATATGGTTAGTTTTTTTGTTGATATCTGAATTGATAAGCTAATGTTTGTTCTGTGTATACAGTATGCTATTATATTTTTATCTTTCTTAATGGAAACCCCACTTTCTTTCCTTCTTAATGTATGATAAGTTGTATTTCTTTTTGCATCTCAGTCTTAACACGTCTGGTATATTTTGGATGGTACCATTTGGAGTTAGTGCTGCTGGAAGGTTAGTCTTTCGTAGAGAATTGCATTGTTTATATGGTAATAACATATGTAATGAACTTTGCATATTATTGACCATAACATGGCTAACTACATTCTACCTCTCAAACAGTACAAGGATCTCAAATGAATTAGGAGCTGGTAGACCAAAAGCTGCATATTTAGCAGTTAAAGTCACCATGTTCATGGCCCTTTTGGTGGGGCTTGTAGAATTTTCTATCCTTATGTCGTTATGGAAAGTTTGGGGGCGTGCTTTTACCAATGTGCATGAAGTTCTCACACATGTGATTTCCATGATGCCAATTGTTGCAAGTGCTGCTTTTGTAGATTCAATTCAAACAGCATTTCAAGGTATTGAATAAGTTCAATCAATGATCAGGTTCAAAAAGTCCATTTTTCCATTTCCCTTTTGATTAAATGTTCAAGATTGCATTAAATTGATTCAACGAAAACAAAGTAATCTCATCCAGTTCCATCATTTCTCTTGTATTACCATTCATTTAATACATAATACAAGAGTAAAATGTTTATAAAAATGTAAATTTTTGTATTTTTTCAAGAAAGAATAAAGTAAAAAGTAGAGAAGGATAATGTTAAATGAACTAAAAAATTTAGGTACGTCAAAGAATCATTTTTCATTATAAAATGTGAACTTTTTCACTGATTATGAACAGGTATTGCCAGAGGATGTGGTTGGCAGAAACTTGGTGCATATATCAATCTAGGATCTTGCTATATTTTGGGTATTCCTTTTTCCGTTGTCTCAGCTTTTGTATTCCACATGAAGGGACAGGTAAATTAGCCATTTAACTTTTGAGAAAAGATCTTATAGTAAATATCAAAATCCTTCTGGTTTGTAGCTAAGCTAATAGCATTGTGTAATTTATTAACTGAAACTATTAAATATTAATGTGTTGATTCTTGATGAGTACAGGGGCTATTTCTGGGGATTGTATTAGCACTTACTGTGCAAGTGGTGTGTTTTCTTCTTCTCACCTTACAGGCCAATTGGGAGAAAGAAGTAAGTTATCCTATCTTCAACTCAATATGTTATCAATTATGAATATTACCAGAGATAGAAATATGATACTGCAAAATCTTGAATGATTTGTCATTGCTAACATCTTACAAAATATAGAGTTAAGGAATGAGAAAAGATCGAAGAGAAAATCTGATACATACTCATAAAGATGAAAGTTTGCTACAAGACCATGGTCCATTTTCCCCTTTAAATAACTAAAGATTTGTTTTATGTACTGTTAGTTTCCAGTCAACTAGAAATAAGGTCAATTTAGAGTATATAAATGATGTAAATCTCAATTTAGAGTATATAAATGATGTAAATCTCACTTTACAAGCCTATTTTATGGGGTTTAATTAGGCTTAAAGAACACTTCTTAACCTGGTATCACTTCTTAACCTGGTATCACAGTTTTTAACCAGTTCTAGTTCTACTAATATAATTTTGGGTTTTTGATCTTATTTTTGTGGGAAATTCCAGAGATAAAATCAATTTAAAATATACAAGTTGATGAAAATCTCATCTAACAAGTCGGTTGTATGTTATTAAGTTTAGTTTAAAATTCACTTTTTAATAATTTTATCAAATTAGTTTCACTCGATTGAACTTGTCTTAAACATGTGTTCTATGAAATTTTGTTTGTGATTCTAGATCTTTTGAATATGCTCTAAAGAAGTTTTAGTGTCTTTCTTGTGATATCTCACCATGAAGCAATTGTGTTACAATGTCATATATTCAAGCAATTATTTCTGACCAATTGTACATCTAATTTATATATTAGGGGAACTTTAAGAAAACTTTAAGATAAATTTATTGTAAGTGATTAAACTAATTAGTTTTCTTAATTTGATTCTTTGGTGGTTGTTCCTTAACTAATATCAGTTTGTTTATTGTTCAGGCAGAAAGGGCAGTTGCAAGAGTAAGAAACAGTGCAGCCAAAGTTGAAGGCCAAAATGTTGATGTTGCTTCATAGTTTAACAATATTTGTTCTAAGTAGAGCACTTATCTTGGAAAATTAATGTTGCTTAATTATATGAATCCCAAAAAATCAACGTTCAAATGAAAGAAAATTGTCATGGTAAAGTAATAAATAAATTAAAATAATGTTATTGTTTTTATCGGATTTGGATGGAGGAATTTCAAGATGGAATATGAGACTTTGAAGAATTAAATTGTTGTTTCATAGTGAAAGAATTCCAATTTACAAAGAGAAATGAAGACAATCATTTATTGCACAAATTTTTTAACGTTCAATTCAATAAAAAATTGAAAAATATTATATATTAAGTGATGAAAAGAAATTAAGTAAGCCTTTCATAAATGTTATATTTATAAGTTCATGAATAAATGAATATAGATATGTTAATCAGGTTCTATTACTTGAAATCTTTCGAAAAATGATAATTATCATATTTATATATTCAAATTCTTTGATTTTTAGTTTCAAATATATTTTTTTTTCCGAATATATTGAAATTCAAGTATTTCAGATCAATCGAGTAAATATAATTATCCATTCATTTTATTATGAATATATATAAAAGAGAGAATCTTTTTATACTTTCTATTCCTCCTAATATTTGATTTCTAACTTGCTTTCCACTTTATGTTGCCATTATTANATTATTATTATTATTATTATTAATAAGTCCTGTACCAGTAATTTTTTGGGTTTGTGTCTGTTGGAACTCAAACATGTTATTAATGTCTTGTTGGAATAAGAATGTCTGTTTTCTAGGTTCTTCCTGTTCAAAACCTAAACATCTTTTTCCTATCTTGATGTGCAAAATTATTAAGGTTGTCTGCTGGTTGATGTACATAGATTGTTTTAATTTAGGGTTTAACATCTCAAACCAAATCAAACTAATGTTCAATTAATCTTACAGAGAATATAATACTTTAACATTTTTTAACCTAAAAAACTTTAATATAATAGGTTTATAGATATCTTTTTTTATATATATTGTTCATATATTAATATTTTTTTCCTCATAAACTTATAATTTCATACGTAAATTCTTTACATTATTAATTCAAATTTATTACATTTCAATTTGATTTAATAGAATGAGTAACTCATTATTATCAAATAGTACAACACATGTTTTATATTATGTATATGATTATTATACACATGTTATTGACTAATGTTGATGGTTCAATTTGCTTAGATGGGTCTATCAAGTGCATTGGACACATTTTGTGGCCAAGCATATGGAGCAAAGCAGTATCACATGCTTGGTGTGCACACCCAAGGAGCCATGGTGGTTCTTATCATTGCTAGCATACCAGTGTCCATTATTTGGGTATACTTAGAGCCTATTCTTGTTCTTTTACATCAAGACAAAGAAGTTGCAAAACTAGCTCAACTATATGCCAGATATTTGATCCCAAGTCTTTCGGCCAATGCTCTTCTTCGATGCATTACTAAGTTCCTACAAACCCAAAACATAGTCTTTCCCATGGTGCTAGCCACTGGCTTGACTAGCTTGTTGCACTTGCTTCTCTGTTGGGTTTTCATTCTAAAACTTGACCTTGGTATCAAAGGATCTGCCATTGCAATTTGCATATCAAATTGGTTTAACACCATAATCTTTGCACTTTACATTCGATTCTCCCCTTCATGCAAACAAACTTGGACTGGTTTCTCTAAGAAATCATTGCATAACATCCCAAAATTTCTCAGACTGGCCTTTCCCTCAGCAGTCATGGTGTGGTAAGATCTTGTTTTTTGAACCACATCTTTCTTTCATAGAATATAACAACTTAGCATTGCAAGAACATAGTTAATGAGTACATTTTCATGCATCATTTTAAAGATACACTACTAGTATACACTGGACTTTTTATGACATAAAAAGGATTTATTATGACAAATATTATAGCTTTTAAATTGTAAAAGTTATAGAAAATTCACTCTTTATGTGACATTGAGACATTGCGAAAACATGTCCTAGTAAATTAGTTTTACTTGTCATAAAATTAATCCTATTAAAATATGTACACAACTTACTCCATACATGCCATGCTTTTGTCATCAATTTAGCTCTATAAGCAAAACAAATATCACTATGTAATCATCTTAAGATCATGTTATGTGACTTTTGGAGGATGGCAATGTACATTTACTTTAATCTTACTTGTAAGAACTTGTTTCGTTTCCCTTGTGACTAGAATGTGAATGACTGATGCTGAGATATTCTGATTGTTGCTTCTGTTGTATTGTATCATTATGTTGCAGCTTGGAATCATGGACGTTTGAAACAATTGTGATCTTGTCTGGTATTCTTGCTAATGGGAAATTGGAAACATCGGTTCTTTCTATATGGTTAGTTTTTTTGTTGATATCTGAATTGATAAGCTAATGTTTGTTCTGTGTATACAGTATGCTATTATATTTTTATCTTTCTTAATGGAAACCCCACTTTCTTTCCTTCTTAATGTATGATAAGTTGTATTTCTTTTTGCATCTCAGTCTTAACACGTCTGGTATATTTTGGATGGTACCATTTGGAGTTAGTGCTGCTGGAAGGTTAGTCTTTCGTAGAGAATTGCATTGTTTATATGGTAATAACATATGTAATGAACTTTGCATATTATTGACCATAACATGGCTAACTACATTCTACCTCTCAAACAGTACAAGGATCTCAAATGAATTAGGAGCTGGTAGACCAAAAGCTGCATATTTAGCAGTTAAAGTCACCATGTTCATGGCCCTTTTGGTGGGGCTTGTAGAATTTTCTATCCTTATGTCGTTATGGAAAGTTTGGGGGCGTGCTTTTACCAATGTGCATGAAGTTCTCACACATGTGATTTCCATGATGCCAATTATTGCAAGTACTGCATTTGTAGATTCAATTCAAACAGCATTTCAAGGTATTGAATAAGTTCAATCAATGATCAGGTTCAAAAAGTCCATTTTTCCATTTCCCTTTTGATTAAATGTTCAAGATTGCATTAAATTGATTCAACGAAAACAAAGTAATCTCATCCAGTTCCATCATTTCTCTTGTATTACCATTCATTTAATACATAATACAAGAGTAAAATGTTTATAAAAATGTAAATTTTTGTATTTTTTCAAGAAAGAATAAAGTAAAAAGTAGAGAAGGATAATGTTAAATGAACTAAAAAATTTAGGTACGTCAAAGAATCATTTTTCATTATAAAATGTGAACTTTTTCACTGATTATGAACAGGTATTGCCAGAGGATGTGGTTGGCAGAAACTTGGTGCATATATCAATCTAGGATCTTGCTATATTTTGGGTATTCCTTTTTCCGTTGTCTCAGCTTTTGTATTCCACATGAAGGGACAGGTAAATTAGCCATTTAACTTTTGAGAAAAGATCTTATAGTAAATATCAAAATCCTTCTGGTTTGTAGCTAAGCTAATAGCATTGTGTAATTTATTAACTGAAACTATTAAATATTAATGTGTTGATTCTTGATGAGTACAGGGGCTATTTCTGGGGATTGTATTAGCACTTACTGTGCAAGTGGTGTGTTTTCTTCTTCTCACCTTACAGGCCAATTGGGAGAAAGAAGTAAGTTATCCTATCTTCAACTCAATATGTTATCAATTATGAATATTACCAGAGATAGAAATATGATACTGCAAAATCTTGAATGATTTGTCATTGCTAACATCTTACAAAATATAGAGTTAAGGAATGAGAAAAGATCGAAGAGAAAATCTGATACATACTCATAAAGATGAAAGTTTGCTACAAGACCATGGTCCATTTTCCCCTTTAAATAACTAAAGATTTGTTTTATGTACTGTTAGTTTCCAGTCAACTAGAAATAAGGTCAATTTAGAGTATATAAATGATGTAAATCTCAATTTAGAGTATATAAATGATGTAAATCTCACTTTACAAGCCTATTTTATGGGGTTTAATTAGGCTTAAAGAACACTTCTTAACCTGGTATCACTTCTTAACCTGGTATCACAGTTTTTAACCAGTTCTAGTTCTACTAATATAATTTTGGGTTTTTGATCTTATTTTTGTGGGAAATTCCAGAGATAAAATCAATTTAAAATATACAAGTTGATGAAAATCTCATCTAACAAGTCGGTTGTATGTTATTAAGTTTAGTTTAAAATTCACTTTTTAATAATTTTATCAAATTAGTTTCACTCGATTGAACTTGTCTTAAACATGTGTTCTATGAAATTTTGTTTGTGATTCTAGATCTTTTGAATATGCTCTAAAGAAGTTTTAGTGTCTTTCTTGTGATATCTCACCATGAAGCAATTGTGTTACAATGTCATATATTCAAGCAATTATTTCTGACCAATTGTACATCTAATTTATATATTAGGGGAACTTTAAGAAAACTTTAAGATAAATTTATTGTAAGTGATTAAACTAATTAGTTTTCTTAATTTGATTCTTTGGTGGTTGTTCCTTAACTAATATCAGTTTGTTTATTGTTCAGGCAGAAAGGGCAGTTGCAAGAGTAAGAAACAGTGCAGCCAAAGTTGAAAGCCAAAATGTTGATGTTGCTTCATAGTTTAACAATATTTGTTCTAAGTAGAGCACTTATCTTGGAAAATTAATGTTGCTTAATTATATGAATCCCAAAAAATCAACGTTCAAATGAAAGAAAATTGTCATGGTAAAGTAATAAATAAATTAAAATAATGTTATTGTTTTTATCGGATTTGGATGGAGGAATTTCAAGATGGAATATGAGACTTTGAAGAATTAAATTGTTGTTTCATAGTGAAAGAATTCCAATTTACAAAGAGAAATGAAGACAATCATTTATTGCACAAATTTTTTAACGTTCAATTCAATAAAAAATTGAAAAATATTATATATTAAGTGATGAAAAGAAATTAAGTAAGCCTTTCATAAATGTTATATTTATAAGTTCATGAATAAATGAATATAGATATGTTAATCAGGTTCTATTACTTGAAATCTTTCGAAAAATGATAATTATCATATTTATATATTCAAATTCTTTGATTTTTAGTTTCAAATATATTTTTTTTTCCGAATATATTGAAATTCAAGTATTTCAGATCAATCGAGTAAATATAATTATCCATTCATTTTATTATGAATATATATAAAAGAGAGAATCTTTTTATACTTTCTATTCCTCCTAATATTTGATTTCTAACTTGCTTTCCACTTTATGTTGCCATTATTATCTTTTACTTTTGGATTTTTGTCTGCATTATTATAACAAAAAAAAAGTTTTACATTATTTTTTATAACTTTTTAACAACGCATATTGTAAGACCCATAAAAAAAATATATATATATATATATATATATATATATATATATATTTATTTATAGTAGTAAATTTTAGTATTTTATTAGTAATAATAATTTTAATGGATAGAAAAATGTAAATTTTGGATATAAAATTATAGTAATTTTAGAAGGAGAGGTTCAAATTTTTGGTAACTTATTTAGTAAATTTTTTTAAAATTGAATAGTAAAAAGTAAATAGTAAATAGTAAAAAGTGAATAGTAAAAATAAATTTTCAGCATTTGGATTCCTTAGCATGGAAGAAAGTAGTAGGTAGAAATTAGGATCAGATTTGGTGAGAAAATGATTGAAATATTATTTTTAAATAATATTAAAATAATAAATAATATTAAAATATTAATGAATAGTAAATTTTTTTTACTATAAATAGCCATGGGAGGGAAGGTTATTCTGCACCAAGAGAAGAGGAATCAAGTGAGAGCTTGAGAAATAGAGAAAAAAAAAAGAGTTAGGGAGAAATTTTTAGTTGCAAGAAGAGTAGAGGTTCTGAAGGGTTTCGGAGAAATAAATTCAGAGCGAGAGAAGTCTGGAATAGAGGTAGGGGAGCTAACCTTTCTATGTTTTTATATTATGATTTAATAGTTCTATGCTTTTATATTATGATTTAGTATTGTTTTATTACTATTCATATATTGAAATTCCGCTGTGTGAATACTGTTAATGCTTACTGTATGTTAATCTATATTGAAATTCAGTGTTAATATTATATGTTGTTGTTCTGAATCTGTAAATAAGAAATTTGTTAAAAACTAGTTGAGGAACACTTTGGCTAAGGAAAGACTTGGTACTTAAGTTGTCCATTGTGACGCACCTCTCTTTCCTGGAAGTCTACTCGACAAGTTTTTAACTTAAATCCTATTGAACAGATTGAGTACTGTTAAATTATTATGCAATATATTGAGTTTGTGTGATTTATGCGATGATTGTATTTTATTATATTGCATTTGAATTTATGCATCTGAACATGTTATGAGTATTATGGGGAGATTTTGTAGGGGTATAATGTGAGTTGAGGAAAATGAGTATGGCATGAGTCTCGTGGAGAGATTCAGTAATATTATGGTATTTGTGTATATGTTGATGTTGAGGGTCCCGTAGTTGGAGGTTATCCTGATACTCTAATAATCATCTAGTCTCAAGTAGAGAGGGATGAATTATGTGGTGAGAGGAGCAGGAGGTCCTGGTCTATGTGTCGGTTTTGGACATAGTGAGGGGATTAACCTTGTGAATGGTATGAAGTATTTTGAAAGTGTATTTGTAAAAAGAAGTAGAAGTCATTACAAGTGCATAACCTCCCGTGACCGCTCATCAACGCATCATCCGGATGAGTGTCTATTGGGTATTGTGGTGTCTATTGGGTATTGTGAGACGAGTGTCTAATAGGAATTGTGGTATGAGGGTGTCGAACATAATTATTATATGATGTTTATATCAAGGTAATTATACATGTTTTATAAATGATTTGTTGCATGTTAGCTCACCCTACTTGTTTGTGTTTGTTTGTGTTTGGGTATGTGCGATGATCGTATAATTCGTTATACGGGAGCAGATGAAGGAATGTCGTCTGATCCAATGCCAATGAAGAGAGAGAGACAGAAGAATAAGCTAGAAGAATTCGAATTATATTTATGAGTTTATAGTTGAAATCTGAGTTTAAAACATGTGTAGACATATATTAACTATGAATTTATAAGTGTGAGATTACGGGATATTACCGTAAATGTAATGTTACGATATATAAATTATGAATTATCCAGCGTGAGATATTGGGATGTTACACATATGACCTGTGATCGGTCAATTTTAAATATTTTTTTTAAAATTAAATTCAAACAGATCAGTGACGACACTTATCCTATTATCAAAAAATTTGTTAAAAAAATTGTTAACATAACCTTGTTATAAATGATCAATTGCAGTTTTCTCACCCATCTTTAATACAGCTGGTCTATTATGGACTATTTAAAAAATAATTAACTTTTTAATATAATTTTATTCTTTTATATAAGGTTAATCTATTTTTTTAATATGAGTGAATAATTTTTTTAAAATGTTAATTTAATTTAATATTTCACACTTGATTTATCCTTGTATTATCTTGACAGTGCATAGTTGAATTATGATGTTATATATTTTAAATCCCGTACATCCCTATCACAATTTGATACATACAAATCTACTGAAAAATGATATGCGAACTTTTCAAATTAATATTTATACAATTTGGTACACTTATCTAAAAATTAACATTTTTAACCATTTTTTCTAAATTTAATTTTAATCCACTACAACAAAAATCTTTAAATAACAATTAATTTTAGAAATAAAAAGTAATTAATTACTATAATAACTAACTATTTTTGTCTCTAAAATTAATTGTTATTTAAGTGTTTTTGTTTTGGATAGTGATTATATTTTATGAGCGATAACGCAATAGTTAAAAGAAGTTTCTCTACAATGATTCTTTTATGGAAAAAGGAACACGTACATGATAAGAACATTAATACATGATAAGAACA